ATCTCGGTTTTTTTCACCGGAAGGAAGATTTTGTTTTGGATAAAAAGCAGATATTCGTGATCAGCATGTAAAACTGCATCAGATGATGCAAAAAAACAGACAAAAAAAGTACCTTACTCGAAATTCGCTTTGCCGGCACCTTATATTAAATTTTAAAATTTGTTTTTCGCATTTATTTTTTATTTAGTTTTTTAGAGTTGATGTTTTAGATTATATTTTGAAAATTTTAAATAAATTTTTTTGCAATAATTATTTGTGCGTTTCTTTTTTATAAATGTTTCGGTTTTTTCACTATATACGATTTTTTTAATTTTCTTAGGTTTTTTTTAAATAAATATTTTTGATTGAAAGATAAATATTAAATTTAAAGAAATATTGGCGAAACCAAGATTCGAACAGTACTGGTAAGCGGCGGTTTACAGGAAGAAAGACTAGTAATTTATAGTTATTTACCCCGGCTTGCCGGATGAAACCGCCGATTTACCGCGGTTAACCCCAGTTTACCAGACGAAACCGCCGGCTCACCGCGTTTTTGGGAGCCGGTAATCGGATCGGTAAAACCGTGGTTAACCGCCGGTTTTTATCACATGGGGAGCTTTTAAACGACCTGCACGATCAATATATTGACTATTTAATAAGTTAAATATTTTTCGTATCATTGAACGACTTAATATTGATTGACATTCTTTATCATTAACTAAAAAAATAGTCACATAAAAAAATGACATGAGCTTTTTGTTTTTTCTTCTTACTTATTGGTTTAATTATAAGTGATATGTCACCAAAATTTTTTTCCAAAGTATTAAAATATGATTTTGTTCGATTATCGAGTTCCATATAAGAGGGACATTGACCATAACGTTCTTCATTATTTTCAGGTAACTATATTTACATAAAAAGAAAAACAAAAAGGAAATTTTTTTTTAATATTTAATAATTAATTCAAATATTTTTGATGGATCAAAAAGAATAATTAATAATGGATAATTTGTTAGTAATTGATCAATTGATATATGATTTATTCCAAATGAAACTTGATCTTGTGGACATTTTGTTTCATTACGTATTATATCAATACACTTTCTACACATTGTATGACCACATACAGGTAATGTTATTGGACGATATAATGGATTTTCATATTCCAAGTCATGTGAACATCTAGCACAACGTAAAAACTGCATATAATACGATTCAATTAATAGAGACATTTCTATTCAATATCTAAAAATAAATAAATAAGCAAAATAGTTCTTTTCGTTTTTTTTTATAAATAAATAAATCGTACTTACTAGTTTCGATAGATGATTTGTTGAATATGTGTTGTAATGATGATGTCAAGCAAAATTCTTTCTTCCTATTACTGCCTATTTAACTAACTGAATGAAGAGACAGATAGCAGAGAGAGACGAAGAGGATGACGGCGGATGTATGTGTGTGTGTTCACTTTCTCTCTCTCTGTCTTATTTCTTCTGCTTCACGTATATGTGTTGATGCTTCTAGTACGCATAACACACAAAAGAGGAGTAACAACATACATACACTCGTTCGAAAACAAACAATTGTATTGTTCTTCTCTTTTTTTCTTTACTAATTTAGAGAAATAAATGGAGTGGGTTTCCTCCATTGATTGCGTCAGACGAGTGAAATAGAGAAAAATTTATTTTTCAGATCAGAACATTAATTCTAACACTAGAAAATTTTCAATTGTTTTTTTTGGTCTATATTCTCTCTTTCATATTGTTGTATAACAAAAAAACTAAAGATCACCAAAAAAAATCCAAAACTGAGAAAGAGTTTGTTGCCTTTTTTTCAATGGATGCTTATTAAAATTGATTTTTATGTAGTATCTTGAAGAATATATCCTTTATTAATAAATTCATCTCTTGTAGCTAATCGTGCAATTGAATCATCAGCTACAGCCATCATTCGAACTGAAGCAGTTAAAATATATGTACTAGTTTTTTCTGTAATTCTTCCTGTTCGTTCATCAACTTCATCAGCTGTATCCAATTGAACAACAGCATATTTTCATGGAATATGTAATTGAACATTTGTTCTGGTATTGGTCGTGTATCTGAATATTACCTTTTTAAAGAGAATTTAGGTCTAAAATCAATGAAAAAGACACTTACTTAATCAAAAGAAAAAAAACAAAAACAAATCAAAAACAGGAAAAAAAATGAAAACAATGTTTTCCTTTTTTTAAAGTTTTTCTCTAGTGAAAAATTAATTTTGTTTCCAAAAATTGGCATTTTCTGTAATACATCTTTGAAAATTATTATACCATGTTTCAATTATACTTAATGGAACAATTTGTTCGGATGTTCGAGAAACATTTTGAAAAAAATCATGTTATATAATAAACAAAATTACTAAGCATTTTCTATAGAAATTCAACATTTGATGTACCTGTTTATGGTGTTATATCATGTCGTTGAACTTACTGTTCAAATTATGCTAAAGGTTCAATACTTATACCTAATAAGCCATCACTTGAAACAGTTGTTTGATGTTGAAATCGCTAAATAGTATTGATACTAATGATGAACCATCTCTCGATTCATTATCTTATATAGAAAAAAAAGCAATACTTTTGAAAGAAAACCTTTTATTTTGTTGATTTTAAAAATTACACTTGGTTTTAAATTTTTTATTTCTCTTTAATAAATTCATGATGGTCCTTCTATACTTGAGCAACTAAAATAAAATTAAAAAAAACTGACAAAAAAATATCGATAAGAAATAGATATTGTTTAAATATGACATAATAGTTGCCACCACCACCGAAATACTCTGTAAATGGTATTTGACCAGTTCATGAATACAACAAGATGATTTACATGATCAACATCAGATACTGATTGAGTTTGTCTTACTTGTTGAAAATTTACGTTGAGACTAGAAGATTTTTCTCAACTAACATATAACTTACTAATCGACCAGCAATTAGTGTTAAAAACATAAGTTAAATGAAAATATCTTTTATTTTAATTAAAACTTATCTGCAGTGGATATAAGTATCGATATATTGTTAATTACATATTGAAAAATAACCAATCAAAAAAGAAAAACAAAACAAATCAATGAAATAAAACTTTAATTGCTCGATGTCTTTGTAAATGTTTAAGTCGTTTATATAGTTGATATTTTGTTTTTCGTAGTAATTGTTCGATAAAATCTAATTCTATTTTTAATTCATCTTGTTTTATTTGATTTGTTTGATCATCATCATCATCGTCATTATTTATATAATTATGAACCATCATATGTTCATCATCAGCATGTCGCATTGCTAAATCTTTGTTATGTAAATCTTCAATTAATTCATTTGTTGTTGATATATTTTCTAGAAGAGTTAATTGAGTTATTCGATGATTTGAATGATTATCCAAACGAGATTTACCATATAATGGAGAGATTTTATCTGTATTAACATTTCCGAATTTGTTTATATTTGATATAAGGGGAAAACATCAATTTTGTCGAATACAAAAAATGTCGATTACAAATTTGGCGATAAAATTTGTCAAAAAAAAAATTGTCGATTCGACAAAATTTAAATCCAAATTTGTCGAATTCGACAAATTTTATTAAAAAATGTCGATTATGGTATTGTCAAACTTCGTTTCGACGAATTTCAAATTCAATTATAAACACCTAAAATCTGACTTAAAAGGGGTGGGGGTGGGGGTGTAGGAATGAATGAAGAAAAGATTCACACTCACACCTACACCCACACTCACATTCACACACCCACACTAATACCCACACCCACCCCCACACTCGTACCCACACCAACACCCACACCCACCCACATCCACACCCACACACACACCCGCCACCCACCCATGCCCGCACACCCAACCTCACACCCACACCCTGCCAACATCTTTTATGTGCGAATGATTTTGTTCCATCAATGGCGACTAAACTAAATACTTTACAAGAAAATTCAACTATTCGATTTACACTAATTAATGGCAATTTACCAGTTGCAGTGCAAGTGTTTACTGTTTTGAATGATGAAGAATATTCAATAGAATTTCATTGTGAGCATGAAATCACAATTGAACGTATGTGTCAGGTTGCATGTAAACTGTTAAATGTGAATAATGGATTTTATCAATTGACGATGGATGATGTTATTTTGGATGATAATGAAATGTCACTGGATGCGATCGATTCAGATTCAACCAATATTCAATTACGTTTAGTTTGCAAGGCTGTTATCAATAGTTTAATAACATATGAAAATAAAACAATTACATTACCGTGTAATAAAGAAACACTTGTTTCAATCGTATTAGACCAAGTTTGTTCAGCATTTTGTATTACAAAAGAAGATACTTACGTCTATGAATTATATGCATTGGATGCTGATCAAGCACAAATTGACTCGTCTATGACCGTCGATGATATATGTCGCTTTTTTCCTGCAATGCAAACAGCAATACCATTGTTAATGAAGAATAAAAAAATACTGAAGAAACACTAAACAATAATGAGCTACTAGCGAGAACCCGTGCATACTACACGGCTGTTTTGTCCTTTAACGCATGACCTCAGACATTTAACTTTTCATCCGGTAAAATACATACAGACACTCGATATTATGTATTTAGATAGATAGTCCTACGGCCTCACACTCTCATATCGCACAAATGTTTATGGGCAATGTAGCCTTCGACCTTGTAGCCTTATCTCCCTATTGCCTTACTCCCTTTAGGGCCTATGGGTATCACAATATAATAGCCCTTGATGGCCAATCAGTACCCCGCTAGTATAGCCCTTGAGGACCTATGAGTAACCCATATGATAGCCCTTGGGGACCAATCGGTACCTCCACATAATAGGCCTTGGAGACCTATGGGTACCCCCATAGGATAGCCCTTCGGGACCCATGGGTATCCTCATAGGATAGCCCTGGAGGACCTATGGGTACCCTATTAGGATAGCCCTTGAGGACCTATAGGTACCCCCACAGGATAGCCCTTGAGGATCTATAAGTACCCCATAAAATAGCCCCTGGAGATCTCTCTCTTAGAGGCTTATTTGACCTTTGACCCGGCACAGAGAAACACACACATACACTGAACATTATATATATAGATACTATTATTTAATTGAATACATCAACAAATAATTTTGCGTGTGTTTGAATTTTAATTGAGTTTGGAAATCTGTTTTTAATCAATAAATTTTTCTATAATTGAGCAAGAGAACTGTTATAACATGCGGAAGAATAAAAATCGAGAACGGCATCCATGACAATGAAATCTGGGAGATCAACTGAGGGTGTGGATGTGGAGTTTAGGTGTTCGTTAACGTACAAACACATCCACACTCTCAGATCTGATCAAAGAAAATATAAGTTCAAAGTATAAAAGTATTTTTATCAAGAAAATGCTTTCATTTTTGTGAAATATGATCTAAAAGGAGTGTTGAAGTATATAGGGTAGAAACTTGCATCCATCCCCCCTCCCCCACAGACCGTGACAGAGAAATTAATTAATTAATTAATTTCTCTGTCACGGTCTGTGATGGTCTCTGTCAGGATATGTGATGATCTCTAGAGACTTCATACATCATAATAGAGACCGTGACAGAGAAGCTGCAGAGACTCACAGACCATGCCAGACGGGTTCCAGAAAAGCAGTTTCATTGTGTTTCACATTTTAATCCCGCAGGGATTGCGCTAACAGCTTTTTATGCAGAAATGCAGTTCATTGATAGTAGTATTTCTTTTTTATTACGTGATGAATTATGGACAGCCTAACTATGGAGAGAAGTAGCATAGCACTGTATTTCATTTTCTTTTCTCTTTCCCTTCCACAATAGCCAGCAACATTTTGTCAGAGGAGTGATGCGAGTTTTTTAAATTGTTTTGTGTCAACATCTTGTCATAGAAAGAAAAGACTTCAACAAATAATTGACTGTAACAAAGAAGAACGAAGCTATTCTAGTAAATGAATAACGAAAAAGAAAAGAAACTTAGTCTTTATCAATGTAAAAGAAATCGAACGTTATTTTTGGTTTACTTATTTTTGACGAAGAACATATACTTGTGTGTTCGAAAGCAAAATACGAGTTTATTTTATGCCACAACGACTTTGTTTCTATTGTTAGAATCGATTTTGAAGCTTTCTAATATTCGTCGAACTCCATTAAAACATTCTTGATAATTTGCATAGAAATTTTTATTATGGAGGGTGTGTGTGGGATATTAGATTTAACACACCCACACCCACACTCACATCTACCCACACCCACCCAGCCACACCCAATTGTTTAATGTCATTCATTGTTGATTTGGTAAATCATGAAATGTGACGTGATATGTAAAGAAAATCTTCACTACATGTCTAACATTATTCTCATCAACGAATTTCAGTCTTGTTTAGGAATGATCGATTTATATTTGCAAAACTTTAATGAATTTGGAAATATATTTCAAGATACTTAAATTAATTTTCAATATATATGGGTGAGAATTCAAATTAAAAAAAATTACAGGAAAATGATAGACCTAATTTCAGTTTTAAAATGAATTTATTAAATTGTATTGCAGATATCAATTAATGAAAGTAAATTTCTATATAGTTTCGAATCGATTTATTTTACGAAAATACGAGAATTTTCGATCTTATACGATCATTTTTAACCTAAAACACGACCATATGACTAATATTACAAACAAACAAGGTGTGAGTGGGTGTGGGTGAGACGAGAAAATTCACCCCTACTCTCACACTCACAATCCTAGTCAACTCTCCTCAAAACAATCCCCGTGAATTCCCCAAGGAGTAGTGACTAGAGAGTGTTCAGACTGCTCCAGAAACCTCTCAGCATTCTTTAAGAATGAGACAATCCTAAATTTTGAAGCTCAGATGTTGATAACGAATGACATCGCCATTTACTCATCGTTTCTTTATGAATTCTATTGTCTCTCATACTAATATTAAACTTATTTTTCCATTTTCATGCGATTTTCAATCAGTGTTTTTTTCTGCAGCAAAATAAAATTATTGTTTATTTAATTAAAAGGAGCAACATCACAAGAAAGGATCGGAGATACATACACTATCAAGCAGAAAGTTGAAAGAAATACATATAAACACACCTTGTATGTATCGTATTTTTTCACATTTTTGATTGTGAAAAAAGAAAATTATTGTTTTTGGTTATATTCACTCTACCTTCAAGATAAGTTTTAAAATGATAATAAAACATCACTGATTTATGAATCATCTATAGGTACTAAATTTCGATGAATTTGATGATCATCATGTTGTTTACCAAGCCATCGATTACATGGAAACACAACTGTTTCGTTTGTTTCCATATTAACAACCTCAACTTTAGCAAGAAACCAATCAGGTGTAAAATAAGTATTATCATGTTCAATATGTAATTTATTCAATTTACCTATTTTGAATGAAAATTTTTGTTTTCAAAATGAATCAAACAAGATTGATCGTACCTAAATCTAAGCATACGATAATAAATTCATCAATTTGACCGCGTCTAAATAACTTTCGACCTTTTTTTTTCAATGGTCGAGTACCCGTATTACCAAGAGTACCATAGAGAATAATTGATACATTAGCATCTGTACTAGCACTAAAGACATCACCAGTATGAACAATAATTTTATACTTAATTGCTTGACGAATATATTGTTGTACTACAGTATCTTCTTGTTCATCAGCGTAATCGAATACATCGCCTTTATTATTGATATCAATCCATTGTTTTATAGGAAATTTATATCTAGAAAAAATTTAAAAAAAATAGAAAAAAAAGATTTTCTGAATAATAGAATTCTTACACAGTGCTTGTTGAAGGATCGGTTATGGTAATTTGTGCAACATGCCACTTAGCTTCACGCTCTTTATATGTTCTAAGTGAATATTCAGGTCGTTCTTCATGGCCCAAAGTAATACGACGTAATTCACCAAGAGGCCGACATTTGAATATAAATGTATCCGTTTGTCCACTAGAGATTTGATTTTAATAAAAGATAATGTTCAAAAATTTTTCTTACTGTCGTAAGATCTGTTTATGCGGTATATTTCTCATATAGAATTTCTCTGATCTATTTTCCGTTCCTTCAATAATGATCCATCCATATTGTGTCGTTCCAGAATTTTGTTCATCTGAAGTTGTTACTTCAATTTTATATGGAATTACTAAATAGAAATAAAATATTGTATCAACGCAAGAGAAAAAACAAAATATTACAAGGACGAAATCATGATTGATTAGAATTTTTTTACTTTAACTACTGGTCTGTATCTAGGTGAAATGAAGACTAATACCCAAGACCACACTCACACATCCACTTCTCAAAAAATAGAGTTCATCACTGGTTCCAGTTCTTGAAAAAGAATCAGATTATAGAGCTGTGACCTGTCACAGATCTAGTAGAGAGAGAAAAAGAAATATGAACTTTAATATGTATTATAAGAGTCTTGCAACTTCAATTCCAAATTTCAACATTTTTTTCGAATGCTTTTCGAATACTTCCAAATTTTAAGTTTTTTTTCCGAATTATGATATTTTTTTATATTCGTGGTATTGTGAAGTTGAACACAACTTCTAGTTTAAATGTTCACATCAATTCATGCGCCATAGGTGTTCTTTTGAAATAATGATGTAGTGTTGAGCTTTAAGACTAATAATAGCACACGCGGTCATTTACATTTTCAGCCTTTCCGAAGTGTATAACTCATGTTCTTTTTTAAATGAATGCTTCTTTATCAAGGAAAGAAAACATTCTCCGATTGATGAAGAATCATTACTTTTTTAAAGTTCTTGTTCTACTTTTGTTCTATCTTTTGAATAAATGTTTTTTTTCTAATCACCGACGTAAACATTGTCGAAAAATAAACAATAAAAAAATTCTATAGAGCAATATCAATACCTGATCTACTATTAGTAAATCACCAGCTTCAAAGAATTTCGTAGAAGCTGAAGCTTAAATCGTTTCCTGTCATTTTCACTATTTGGAGGTGAAGATTTGAGTATTTATGGCACCATGAAACTATAAAAACGAAATCTTAAGTTTGACTAATTACTTTTTGTCATGCAATTTTCATGTACTAAACTGAAATAGATGCATCCTTGCATATTAAATCTGAGTATTTGAATATGAATAAAAATGAAATTGAAGAAGAGAAAAACCTATATCAGAAACAAATTTTACACAAAGTACTAGGAGAATACAACATATTTTAATAGTGAAGGACAATATATCTAATTAAACGTCAAATAATTGACTTCCGAATTTTTTCCGAGATGACCTAAAAAATTTTCGAATTTTCATTATAGAAATTTCGATCTGGCAACCCTGTTCGTCGTATCCAAGGGGATTATTTTACGTTGTTTTCTATGGAAGTTTGAAATTAAATTTTAGACAATGCAATATATTTTATTATGAATGAAAATATGTTCAGTTGGGTCAAAACAATAGTTTCAAATGACATTTTATTCTAC